TAAGCTACCTTTTCTCTCTTAGAAGTACAATGATGATTGAGCCTGTACATATCAAAGCATATTGTGCAACACAAAATTATATATCACACTGTGGCCCTGTGTGTATGTGTTTGTGTAAAAGAGGGAGAAAATCCACAGCTACTGTGATTTTTCTTCTGCTGATCTATTGCCTGTTGACTGAAAAAAGAGTCAACAAAAGTCCCTTTTGTTTCTTTTTCTAGAACCTCATACTGGGTAGCTGAAAGGAGGATGTGGAAAGGACTTTTTTCCCCAGCCAGCATCTGTGTAGATGTGTTATAGTTGCTGGCTATTGCAACAGATATAAAGTGAAATGATAATTAATTTTATTGCATTTAAATCCCACTTTTCTTCCACAAAACTCAAGGTGGCCTTATATGGGACTCCCAGGTAGTTTCCTGACACTGACCAGTCCTAGATGTTGTTGGCTTCAGCAGCACTGTTGCGCATGCTTTCAGAGTATGCCGAGAATGCATATGATAGTTATGACCTCACATGTGGAAGTTTGTACTAATCAGAACAGATAAAGGCCAAGTAAAAGCAAACCCAATTATCAGCTTCAACAGTATGTATAAAACCTTTTAATGGTGTATCTTCTAAAAATTTCAATTTATCAGAAATGTTTATCTTCATTATTGTATTTTCAAGTGCTTATTTACAATGGACCATTATTTTTCTTTTATTTCCATATATATATATATATATATATATATATATATATATCTCACAGCTAACAGATTTGTCTTTACTGTATCAAACAATAATCCGGATATATTTTAAACACTCTTAAAATTCTAATTTTAATTAAATTTTTAATTAAATTTTAATTTTTAATTACTGATGGTTAATTCAGGCTATGAAAGTTATTCCATATTAAGTCTAATATCTATCACCCAAAGTATTATGGTTGAGTAATGCTGAGAGTTGCTTAAATATATTTATATATTAAATCCTACATGTATAGGATTGCACTCCTAACAAAACTACCAATACTGAAGCATTGGTACTGAACTGCATCTAGTGTTAAAGAAAATGCAAGGTTGTAGATATGACGATTTATAAGGGTGTCAAGGACAGGACCATTTGAAGGGCCTGAATTCAGAGGACTATTGTAAGTCAGACATGACTTTATGACATGTAACAGCCACAGCAACAAAAACCTATTTAAGGTGTTCTCTAAATAGCCACATATATGGAATTGTTCAAAAGACTGGTGGGAGAAAAACAGAAGGGGAACTCAAATCTTGCAAAAGATTCCAGTGTAATCCCATAGCTGGGACTGTTTGGAAGCCATGGAAATTTAGTAAACACCACACCACATCACTAGCAAATGACTTTCCATCGTTGAAAATCTGCTTAGATTCTAACACCCCCCCCCCCCACACACACACACTTTTAAAAATAAGTGAATTTCAGTAGTAGGTAAAATGTTCTCAGTTACTGATATTAACCTTAACAGAAGAAACACCTTGATAGAACTTGGCATTTGGCTGATCCTAAATTAAATTCTTTGTCTTCATTTTATATAATGCTTGAATTCTAATAACCAGGGACAGTTACATAACTGCACTTCAAAGCAGTGAACAAACCAAGCAGCTACAAAGAAACATCTTTGCCTTGGGCAATCACACTCCAGTGACTCATTCAAGTGACCTTATTTGCTCATTAGAAGCTCTAGGTGCAGGTTGCAAATGTCAGGGTAGCTTAATTTACATCTTTAAGAAGTGCAGCTACCTAAATTTTAGTGCTAATCTTCTCAAGATCTCAGGCCATAACTAACTTTATTTACTTACATTTTCAGCTGACATATTCCTGCATCTCTACTATGAATCTGCTTTAGGTACCTGCACTATAGATATAAAAGTTTTGATGTTTTGTGTAGCATGCAAAATTAGAAAGATTGGAAGAAAACCAACTATTCCTTCCTGAATCTTTACAGAATTCTAAGGTGATCCAGACATGAACTCTTTATTTTATTAAAAACTTTTTCAGGGTTGATTTTCAAATATTTAGACAATGTCCTCTAAAATAATATTTTCTTAAAGAAGAGCATAATGCTATACCTATTTCCTCCCCCTAAAAAAACAGGGGTTCTTGCTCTAAATTTTCTCTTCCAGTACCTTGAAGCAGGGTATATTGTTCTTTGGGCCATAAAAGTACAGTTCCGGTATCTACTGTGGAGAATCCTTGTAAATATTTCAACATATTATTCTCCTGAGTCCTTTATAGGTTCTGAGGTCTGATGATCTCATTTGCCAATGGGCTATTCTTAAAAGCATGACTTGTGCAATGCAGATGGGAATGCACTCTTCATGCATAGTTCTCTTGCATCACTACTCTCACAATACAGCACAACTATACAAAATATGTATGGGAGCACCTACAGCATCTTCGGAGGCTGTAGCATGTGAGATACAGACCGAGTGTTCCTTGCCTTGACACCTATCCACCACCAAACTTTGCTTAGTGTTTCCATGATGGGATTCACAATGTTGGAGGTACAAAGCCTTGTGCAGTTTAAAAGGATGCTGATCTCTAGCAACGTGAAGTATTGCAACAAAAGAGCAACAAAGCTCACACTGTGCACAGTTCTTTTCCACATGGGCACTCACTTTCTTTGGGTTCATACTGGATACATTTTATGCACTATTTTTTCCCATGAGATCTGTTTCTGTCCTCTTTTAATGCACAAAAAAGTCATGTTGTATTTTTTGTAAGTAATTATTTGTGTTGAACATGCTTGATGTATTTTCACTTCATTAAATCCAAATCTGATTTCCACTGAGTCAAAATAAATGTCGAGAGCACATAAGAAACAGCAGCAAATGCTACCACTGGGTGCATCTCAAATGAATTTCCCTATAACATTTGCTTGGATAAGAATTCAATTTTGTTTTGACTAAGCTTGTGTTCACAGTGCTGAGACTGCATAGATGTCCTGGACAAACTAACAAAAGACCAAATTTATTGAAAACCACTGGGACTTTAACTTGGAGGTAATAAAAAAATGGAAAAGGGAGCTATGGAATACACTTCTGAAATTATTCCTTATGCATCTGTCTGCTACAATTCAAAATAAAAAATAATTTACAACTGATATTTATGAGTCCCATACACATAACAGAAAACTGGCATTTGTACGTATCTTATGCAAACCTATACTACCCTGTGTGGGTGCAACAAGGCCACCAGCTGAAGCTGGTAGGAGACACTACAAACCCCCAATGCTGCCTGAATCTCAAGTGACAAAGATGGATGATGGGGCACCCCCAAGCTACAAACCTGCTCATTTAGGAAAATGCAACCCCATCTAGAACAGGCTGAACACTCCCCATCTGGCCATATGACACCCACCAGGAGCATCTGAGTCTTGCCTGGACTGAGTTTCAGTCCTCATCCAGTCCATTGTCATAACCAGGCACCAGTTTAGCACATCTACAGCCTCATGTGCTGACGATGAAAAGGAGAAATATAGCTGCATGTCATCAGCATACTGATGGTAACACGCTCCAAAACTCCATGATTTCATGTAGATGTTAAATAGCTTGGGGGAGAGAACAGACCCCTGAGGAACTCCATGCTGAAGAATCCACAGGGCTGAACAATATTCCCCAAGGACCATCTTCTGCAGACAGCTCTCCAAGTAGAGCAGAACCATGCGATCCTCCACTCTCAACTTAGACAGTTGCCTCAGAAGGATTCCATGGTTGATGGTATCGAATGCCATTGAGAAATCCAGCAGCATCAACAGGGTCACATTTCTCCACCTCACTCCCAGCACTGGTCATCATACAGGGTAACCAGTATTATTACAATATTACATTCATGCCTCATTTCTTCCTATTGCAAGGAATCCAGTGCGGCTTAAAAGGTTCTCCTTCTTTCCATTTTATCCTCATAACAAAAATGCTATGAGATAGGTTGGGCTGAGAGTCTGTGACTGGCCCAAAGTCAGCCACTGGGCTCCATGGCTGAGTTCACAGATCCCAGCAAACTGGCTTCTTCTACTTGGCCATAGTGTGATACATCTCAACTAAAGGCATCTCTTTTAAAAGCCTTGGAAAGGAACAAATTATGAGACTAAGTTGTGTGAGACTAAGAGGTGTTGATTACTTGAACATAGCTCAGGTTTATCACATGTGTTAAGCTCTCGCATAAAGTTCAGGTTAATGCTACTAAGTCTCAATAAAATATAGGAGAACTTTATGTATGCTTACTGAACAGAAAGTTCCAGTCTCCTTGAAAACTTTGCTCTCCATACAGAAAAGCTGAAGTTCTGGAAGTTGGAGCCAATGTATCCAGGAATATGCAAGGGCCCATCCAGCATCCAAAGCCCAAACCTCATATCTGTGTGAAGAAGTCTTATAAGCATATTCTGATATATATGATCCATGCTTTTCGAATTCATCCTTTCCCCTACCATTATCATACTTTCATTTCTATACCACCAGACAGCCAAAGGTCTTTGAGCAGTTTACAACAATTCAATACCCTCTGCTTCCTGTCAAATCTTTCAGCTTCCTTGGACAGAAATGCATCTTTATTTTGTTTATGAAGCAAAGGAAGCGAGCTCACAGTGATGGTGCTGGATAAATAACAGCCCAGGAATTATGCAAACCATACTCCTGTGAGCAATTTCTGTTTCTAGTGACATAATAAACTGGCAAATAAAATTGCATTTCCCTTTTCTATTAAAGTTAAACAAACAAAGGAAAAACATTCAACACAAACATTCAAGTATAGGTTCATTCCAGACATCATAATACACAATATGAGACAAGCCAGGATCATTAGTTTCTAGTAACCAACATTTGTCCTTCCTGGGCATAACAACAAAGTGCAGTAAGCATTAAAGAGGAAGTGGCTGTGCTAACAGAGGAAAGAGAAATGAGGTTGTCAGCCTGCATTTTATTCACATATTGTTACACTAACATTATGTATGAATTTGGCCATATAGACACAAATACTGATCAAAAGGATATTTTCCTGGTGTCTGTAGACCCACTCGGTAATCTGTATAGCTTTTAGATGGATGGAAATTAAATATAAATAGGAGACTTGCCCTCTCAAAAGCAATAACTTTGTTTGATTCATGCTTCTCTGAAATATAGGCCTGCAAAAAAGTAAATGATATAATTATTAAAATTATTAATTACTTAAACCACAACATTGAAGAAGTGAATAGGTGGAGAGGGACTAAGTTAAAATGAATATAACACCCTTTCTGTAAGTAACTACATATAAGAATTCAGATTACAGAACTATGGATTCAACTTTTGAAGAGTAGGGTGGGCAGTATATTAAAAAGGAATAACAAATCAGCTATACATTTAAATTTAGCTATTGAAACACTATGTGTGTATGTGTAAAAACTGCAAAGTAACAAACTGATGTATTTGCAGCATTGGTTGCCAATGTCCATCATGCAGTAAGCACTTACCAGGGCACTGACCAAGCAAAACTTCACATTTTGGCTCTGAACTTCCAGCCAGTAACCAAAATAACAACAACTGAAGACATTTGAGCATATTTCTGGTGCCTATGATGGTGAACTAGTTACTGCTGGTCCAATGTGCCACTTGGGTGGGGAGGAAAAAGGGGCAGGAGTGACCGAAAAATAGTCTCAGTGGAGTTGGAAGAACAAGCCAATGATAGTTAATCCAAAGTCCTGTTTGTGTACTGGCGGAGCAGCTGTCACTGGTGGCGGCATGGGTGAGCTCAGTAAGAAGATTTTGCCACTGTGTGTGCTTGTATATATATGTCTTATTTTAATCTTGAAATAAAGGATTGTAATAGAACGTTATTGACTACCACATATTTGCTTTGCACATTAAATATGAATAAAAGAATCAGAGCCGAAAAAAGGAATTTACCAATGTATATCTAGTTGCATTAGAAAAACAACAAATGGTACTGTGACCACATAGACAAATTACTTTCCTATGAAATGAATTTTCACAGATCATCCTAGGCTATACTGTTGTCTCCTCGACGAAGCTATACAGCTGCAAAGCTCTTCTGAAAAGCCTCTTGTGGCTGCAGTTGTACTCATTAAAGGCTACAATCCTATCCATTGGCAACAGAAAAGCTGATATACTCCAGAAAACTTGCATGAAGCATCTTGTGAGCACAGCAGAAAATACAGAAATACAGCATTTCTTATACACTTTAGTATAAGGTGTTTGTAGGTTTTGAAATGAAATGTTCAGTTTTTCACTGAAGTTTCATTGCATATGGTCATTTTAACAAGACAGAGGGATGAACAGAACAGAAACTGACTCTACAGCCTTAACTTATGGTTCTTAACAGCCATAATTTTCCAGAATTCTGGAGCCTGAGTGAACATGACAGGCTCTCACCACAAAGGCCTGGTTCTCATAACAGGGGGTGTTAAGTGATGATCACTCGTTAACTAACCTCATGCTGACCCATCAAATGCAATCTAATTTCTCTAATGCCCTTCACCAGCTGTGGCTTGTTACTTGGTAATCTTGCAGGGGTGCTGGTTAGCAAACCTACACTTTAGTGTAGTTTCTGGGGCATTTGTCAATCATCTCAGTTCCCAACGTCTTTTCTGAATTCACACATAATGCAAAGACACATCCAATAAAGGCAATGAGGGAAACTGGACAGCATGTGAGAGGGTGGCTAATAAGCCACCATCGCTTCATAACCACCTACACACTTGCAAGTCTGGTCTGCCTATTAAATCAAAGGGATTTTTGTTTACTGAACATACCTCTAAACTATGTGCTCTACCAATGGCCCATACTATAGCCAAAATGTTCCTTATTCAGTGAAATTAGTAGACTGCATCATGTTGGAAATGGGATCCAAGAGTAAAATAGGAAGGGTTGTCACACAATCAAACATAACTGGACCTGTTAATAGGTCCATTTGTAGTGTAGTTTTAATGATAAATAGAATCTTAACAATCAGGAGGCATACGTATAACTAATTATCCAAAAATAAAAATATTTTTCTAAAGATAAGCCTAGTTATTTATATCACACACTGTCAAAGTAATTAAAACATTTTAAAGATATCACATAGAGCTAGAGAACTTTGCTAATAAACATACTTTTTTAAAAAGTCAAACCAAGGGGAAGAAAAAAAATAGCATGGTAAACAGGATAATGCTGCAGAATTTTAAGACAAGTCACCCCTAGCTTATTTTCGAAGTATGTTAGGAGAATAAAGCAGTACATAAGACATTTCTTACTGAAATCAGAATATGCACAATGCTGGTGACTAACACACACCACTTTTAGTGAATATACTTTACCGGAGGTGATGAGAGCCAGCCAAATCTTTCTTCCAATTTGTTCATATCTCTGTCAAATGCATTAAGAAATCTATAGCGAAGAAGTTGATCATCAGCTAAGTGAAATTGTCTCCTAGCATAATGGTAGCTTTCGTTATTGCCTTGTCTTGGAAAGTCCAACCATTCTGGGTGCCCAAACTCATTACCTGTTTGTGAGGGGAGGATGGAAAGGGGAAAAACCATGCAATACAATGAGTCTGCTCCAGTTACCACCATTCCAGAAAACATTTAAACACATAGTTCCAAAAAAGGCAGGAAAACTGTTTTAATAGCTTCATAATATGTACATTTTTACATTTTTAGACTCTATACCATTTCTACTGGATTGCAAGAATCTGAATATTAGTTAAATACTTAGTGTATGGATAAATACTTTACATTCAGCTTAAAGATCTCTCTCTCACACACACACACACGAGAAAAAAGAGGGACAGAGAGAGAGACTTAAACTGTTATCTAAGAAATTCAGTGTGCAGGTGCTAAGAATCTTTAAAAAGATTTTTAAAAAAACTTTTAGAGGGTTTTAAATGTAACCATTTCCCTATATTTTGTTCTATTCACACTACAAGCTAACCATGTATGAAGTGCTACAAAAGGTTCAAGTCCAGTTGTTCTTGCTTGTTGAGAATTCTATCTTTCATCACTACTATCTGCCTTAATTCCTGAGACTCACACAATATATAAGCTCACAGACAAGTATCTGCTCTTTATCCTCTGCTGTGAAGACTGATGAAAAGAATTAATTCAGCTTCTCTGCAATATTTTCACCCCATTTAGTGCTCCTTTATTTATCTTATCATCCAATGGCCCAAGTACTTCCATAGTGGCTCTCATTCCTTTGATACATTAAAAAAAATGGTAGCCTATTGTTAGGGATGTGCTTCTCAAACAGTTTCTTTGCTTCTCAGATTGCCTGCTTGCATTTCCCTTGTGCAAGCTTGTGGCCCTGTCTGTTCTTTTCATTTGGGCAAGACTCCCAGTTTTTGAAGGAAGCGTTCTTCTCCCTAATAGTTTTCTTGACTCTCTATGTTAGCCGTGCTGGTGATATCCTGCTCTTTGTGCTACCTTTTTCATTTCTCTTATGAGCATTAACTCTGCTCCATTCCAGTGTTTTTGAGTGATTTCCAAGCACTTTGAAATAATTTAAACTTCTTGATCCCTCTCTTCTTCTTCTTCATCATCAGTTTCTCTCTTTGTCGCTGCCTCCTCCTCTGCCTCCTCCTCCTGTTTCTGCATTTTTGGAAATTTTCCTCTTTTGAAGACATTCCATAACCAGGAGTGTCTGGGGAAGACCTTTCCCCTGATCTATATATAATGTACTACGCCCAAGGGTAGGACACAAATATGGAGCCCCTCTCAGAACTTAACTCTCAGTCACAACAAAGATTGGACAAATACAAGGAGAAGGTTCTCAGTATGGCTGTATGTTACCAACAGTATCAGGGTAATACATCAACATATATTGGTTGCTGGGGAACTCACACAACATGTACTGTTGAACTCATATCCTGCTTGCAGGTTTCCCATGGGGACCTGGTTGTCCACTGTGTAAACAGAATGCTAAACTAGATGGATCCTTGGTCTGATCCTGCATAGCTATTATTGATTCTCAAGCATTTCCATTTAGAATATGGGAATTCTTCAGGAATGTGCTGAAGATCTTTAAATCTAAAATGGTTCTTAGCTCTGGTTTCCTAGGATAGCATAGGATATCCAGCATAGGCTGGGTATATTTTAAGGCAGGATGATTCAACCCATATCACCTTTCTACTTGATTAGAGCAAGCAGGACCTATTCTGAGTTTTATAAATAATGAACCATTGTGCTGACTATACAAATCATTACAATTCAAAAAATCAAATGGATTTTCATTGTTTTTTGTTTTTCTAATCATATAGTCCTTCAGGCACGCAGTTAACTTCACTGATCTGAGGGAGCAATTCATCTAGAAATGCCATCAGCATGTCTATATAGCCTGGGGATCCACCAGATACTTAATTATACTACAAAGAAGGCTGAAATAGGTGTCAAAATTGACAAGCAACAAAAGCTATCTGGGAGCTTCACAACCTGGTGCAAAAATGTGCAAAACAACTGTGTCAAGATATTCTTGCAAACTTCTCTAGACTAGTTGGCTCTAAAAAGAGTCATTAACATTTGTCATTTTAAAATAAAGAATAAAAAGAAAACTTTTGAACATCCCAAGTGACAGATGTCAAGCTTCATGAATACATTAATATTCATGAAGCAACAGACATTCAAAATTATGAACCAGGATAATTTATATCCTTATTCTTATGCTGTTACAAAAATTCTAACAAAACCCTCAGACATGAAGCAACTACTGAATTCAGCATTTTATATAGCACAATACTTCATACTTATTTCAAAACTGACAAGAAGAGATACATGCTTGTTGATAAATAGAGTTTACTACTGCTTTAAAAGCTTATGCCAACAGAAAATACATTAGAAAGAAGATCCAAGAAGTATATCAGGCTCTCTATACTAGGATTATAGTTGTTTCCCAAACTGGGAGAATTCATTTTCCCCAAAGTGTTTCAAGGAAACTGGTTTATTGTATAAGAAATATACAGACTTCATGAAAAAATCCAGCATCTTTGGAGTTGGGGAAATCTTATCTTTATAGTTCACAATTTGAAACTTGAGCATAATGGAAACACTTGATTTCCAGATGAAATTCCAGGAGACAGCTACAACCTTTCCTACAGGGATAACTTGACCATAGCAATACAAGTGCAAGTAATGTCAGGACTGGCTTACTGCAATGTGAAGCTGCCCATAAGGCTGGTCTGGAACCTGGTACTGAGGAAGCCCGGCTGTTGTTAGAATGACTTTTCAGCATGCAGTTCTTTTGATGAGGGAACTACACAGGCTGCCTGTTTGCTACAGGGATAGGTTTAATTACTGGGGTGGGTTTGGGCACTATCATAGAAGGTACTAAAAAGCTTGGAACTAGGATGCCTGAGGCTTCTCCCCTACCAACCTGTCCAGTCACTGAGGTCACTAGATAGTACATCTCCAATGGTTCCTTATGGTCCTATGACCTTCTTGGATCTGCTGGACCCTGAAAAGAACTTTCAGTGTAGCATTTCTCTGAAAATCCCTGTCTCTGGAGGTCAGGCAGGTGTCAACAATGTACTGATTTCAGGAAGCCTTTCAGATCTAATCAGCTATAGCTTTACTGATTTTGTTTTTAACATATTATTTCATTTCTTATCTTTTATTGTCCACTGATCCAAAATCCACATATGGAAATATTGATTGGTAAATAAATGATGTGTTGCTTTATGGAGTGCAGCTCTACAGGCGTCAAGAGCACATGTGGCCAATGTTCTGGTATCACAGGGATTCTGAGTTACATTCTTATTCTTCACCACTAAGCCAAATCTGCATTGTTTAAATTCTTCTGAAAGCCATTGCTTTCAGTGATCCTGTTTCCTAGAGGGTACCTTCTCTCTAGCACAGTGAGACATAGAAATTCAATTTATGTTCATACACTCTACAAAAGTACTATCACAGTTGAAGTTGAAGAAGTCAAATTTCTAATTTTTTTATCCACCAGTTGAACCACATATAGTACTGCGGGTTAACAAAATGACCAATTAGACCCATAAGGTGACCAATTAGAAAAAAAAAACAATCCCAGTTGTGAACATTAAATTCAATGGCTTCTTTACTCCTGCTTTTTATACAAGATTTTGTCAAAATGTGGAATTTTCCTGCTTATTGCCATCTGCAAGTCTGCCTGTGGATTCAAGTGATTCCTAGATTTTGTCTTGATTGACCAAAGAGAACTGAATCCAAATACAAACAAAAAGTAATAAATAATTTTATTATTGGAAGAAGTGTTTGCAATAAAAAGTTGCAATTCACCAAATTTGGCAAATTGTGACATAGCCTTCCTCTTTGTTGCACCTCCTGAAATGCCATCTCATACCCCCTGGGGATGTGGGCACCCCTGGTTGGGAATCCCTGCTCCAGCACATCCTTATTCTATATTCACTCATATAGATGTTGAAAGATTATTATTTAAATTTAGTAGGCAAAATTCTCTTTACAACAGAGCCACATAACAATTTTAAGTCAATTCCAAAGATATTTCACATATGATTTCAACCTTATTAATATATGGACTTTTTTTTAATAAGTAAGGGTTGTGGGTGAATGTCTCCCAGATGCCATGATTTTTTTTTAAATCAACACACAGTTGGACTTCACTGCAATATCCAAATTCTTAATGAAAACATGCTACTCAAATGTGATCACTGTTCAAACAAACAACTAAGTGTATTTTACAGGTCTTTGGAGGAAAACTTTACCAGTTAATGTTTGTACTACAAGCTCAACTGATTACTATAGTTGCCATCATATGCGTATTTTCCTGGGAGTAAGTAAGCACCAGTGAACACAATGGAACTTATTTTTCAGTAAATATACATAAGATTATGCTGGACAGACAGTTCAAAAATCAAACTACTTTCTGCGGATATGACTTTTGGGAATTCTTCCAATTATTATGATATAGCAAGTTCCTTATGTGTATAGTAAGAATGTCGCACATGTATAATTGTGGTCTTGCGTGTGTAAGGTCTTGGTATACTTTTGAGCATGGAAATGGTAGAATATGTAGCATTCTATGGATAGGCCATCTGGGGGGTCTGGAACATAGGTGATCATTATCTATGCCAAGATCAGGGTGTTGTAAATCTTGTCATTGATGGAATAGGGGCAGAGACAAAGCCATGAACAAGCATCAGCTCTTATTGGGTTCAGTAAGAAAAGGTATAAGAAGGGATCTGCATTTATGTGCACACAGGTGTTGTACATGAAATAAAGGGCACAAGGGCAATGATGTGAAAATAACCCATCTTTCCTTTCATAGTGTTGATCCCAACATGGTGGAGGCAATTATATATTTGAATAAAGTAATGAAAGTGATTCTAGTCAGGACACTTGTCCTTTTTGTACACTCATATATTGAGATATACCCAGAGTGAATACATTCAGAGTGAAAGTGAATGGAAACCTTTAAAATCCCCAAATACTATCAGCAAACATTAATCTGTAAAATGGTGTCACAGTGATAACAAGAAGTCATTTTAACATGTAACTGTTTTGCAGG